CTAGGGGTTTCATAAGAGAATAACAGTCAAAGAAATGGTGCCTTAGAACTCCATCCTGACCATAAATCTGCACGGAAGAGTACCCTTCACCAAGGCAACCATAGGCAGAAGAGGCCATTCAAAGATTACCCAACCTTTGAGATGATGCTGGGCCACAGTGGTGTACCCAGCCCACCACCCGGCTTGTGTGTCATCCTGGGCCCAGGCAGGTGATGATGCCAAACACAAGGCCCAGTTATGTAACTAAGTAAAAACTTTCATCAGAGTGCCCATCTTGGTGACCCACAGCCCACTGTCAAGAGCATTCCCTGTGCCAGGAGGTCAGCAGGTTCACCTCCTCCTCCACTAGTCACTAAGACACGGATATTTTGAGAACTAAAAGCCTCCACAAGCCAGGCACAGTGGCTCACACCTATAATCCCAGCACTTTGGGAGGCCAAGGTGGGAGGATCACTTGAGTCAATGAGTTTGAGACCAGCCTGGGCAACATAACGAGACCTTGTCTCTACAAAAAAATTTAAAAATTAGCCAAGCATAGTGGTGCATGTCTGTAGTCCTAGCTACTTGGGAGGCTGAGGCAGAAGGACCATTTGAGCCCAGGAGTTCAAGGCTGCAATGAGCCGTGATGATGCCACTGCACTGCAGCCTGGGTGACAGAGCAAGTCCCTGTCTCTCAAGAAAAAAAGAAGCCTCCACGAACTCCGAGGTACTAGTTTGGGTGGGGAGGAAGAGCAGGAAAGGGACAGCTTGCATTAGTTGAATGCCTCCAAGGTGACAGGCACTGTATGGGACACTTTTTCACAATAATTTTGTTCATACCAGTTCTGTTAGGTAGGGATAACTAATTTCCACTTTACAAATGAGGAAACTGAAGTCCAGAGGGCCCCAGATCACAGCAAGAGGCACAGTAGTTCTGAAAGCCAGGTCTGTTTGGCCACACAGCCAGTTCTCCTTCCCGAGCTCCTCACAGCCTCCCATCACACTGGCCCTGGCACCAGGGGAGGGGCTGCCTCTACCCCAGTCCCATTCAGAAGGAAGGAGGGCCTGTGGCAGGAGTTTCGTAGGGTGAGCTCATGGGGAACAAGTTTCACAGACTGTAGGAGCTCCAGTATCCCAGGGGCTAAAGCAAAAAGCAGTCCTGGGAAGTTTCAGTTAGGCTAGCAACAGTGGGGTATGACTATTGGCTATATTAACAAAAGCAGAAGATTTAAAATGAAGGAGGTGCCAGCATCTGCTACTCATCAGACCACACCTGGTCTGTCCAGTAATCAGTTATGAACATGCCATTTCAAGAGGGATAAAACGAGATAAATTAGAGAAACTTTCAGGTGAGAATGGTCCTGAAACCAATGTGAGACCAACACTATAGGTCACCTATCTAGACATTCCTCATATTCTTTCTAGCCAAGCAAACCCAGCTTCTATGCCATCCCTCCCCGCACCTGCTGCTGCTAATGTGTAGGGGCAGGGGTGGAAGCTGAGTTCTTCCCTTGGCCCAGGAAGTGAATCTTGACTGGTCATTCCATTCCCCTGGCCAGGGTTTGGTTTAGGGCGAGTACTGGAATACAATTTTGACTATTAGATGTGAGGAAAAGTCTGCTTGAAAAATTCCTAAGAAAGGCTTCCTCATCTTAAAAAGGGGCCCCAGACAGGGACATATGCTATTCCTATTTCCCTCTGAGTGTTGCATTGCAAGCTGGTGGAGCAGCTCTAAATAAGCTTGAGAGCAAAAGCCACCTTGACCAGGGTAGCAAAGCAGAAAGTGAGAGAATCTGGGCCCTCATGATCTCATGGAGCTACTGAACCATCAACCCTGGAACCCATCCAACTTCTGGGTTCCTTGTCATCTAAGATAGTAATAATCCCACTGTTGTTTGAGCCACTTTGTGTTTTGGTTTTTGTTTTTGGAAACAGTCTCACTCTGTCACCCAGACTGGAGTGCTGTGGCAGGTGAGCCACTGTGCTGGGCCTATTTGAGCCACTTTGAATTAGGTCTTCATTGCAGCCAAAGGCTATGGCTAACTTATCTACTATGTTAATGAGGAACAACTGAAGGACCTAGAACTTGTGGCCTGAAGAAGAGGAGGCCCTGGAAGAGCAGAACCAAGGTTTTCAGATATTTAAAGGTCTGTTCTTCAGGAGACAGGTTCAACTTGCTTGTCTCTTGTCCAGGATCCCAGCTTCAGGGAGCAAATCAACCCATGATAAAGGGTGGGCATTCTCACTCACAGAGCTACCGAAAGACGGAATGGTTGTTTGGGGAAGTAGGGAGTTTCCCATCCCTGTTCTTGGATGACTATCAAAAGAGAATGTTGAAGGAAAAAACCATGATTCATTGATTAAAACATCTCGTGTTGTTTTAAAAATTTTGGAAAGACTGACTATAGAATGGATTTTTCAAAACAACAGCAACAAAAAAAGCTGTGGCTACTGCTTTCCTAGGGAGATGGAGAAAAATGGAGAAGACAAAGCTCAGCGACTGAGGAAGCAGGTGAGAAGAGCATCCTCACTAGTGCTGCCAATTGTGGCATTTAAGACACAGACTCTGGGGCCTCGGACGAGGTGAAGAATTCTTAGACTTGACACCAAAGACACAGTCAATGAAAGTCAATAATTTAGATTCCATCACAATTTTAAACATTTGCTCTTCAAAAGACCCTGTTAAGAGGATAAAAAGACAGGCAGCCAGGCACAGTTGCTCACGCCTGTAATCCCAGCACTTTGGGAGGCGGAGGCAGGCAGATCATAAGGTCAGGAGATGGAGACCATCCTGGCTAACACAGTGAAACCCCGTCTCTACTAAAAAATACAAAAAATTAGCCAGGCATGGTGGCGGGCACCTGTAGTTCCAGCTACTTGGGAGTCTGAGGCAGGAGAATGGCGTGAACTCGGGAGGCAGAGCTTGCAGTGAGCCGAGATCGCGCGACTGCACTCCAGCCTGGGCAACAGAGTGAGACTTCATCTCAAAAAAAAAAGACAAGCTACAGATTGGGAGTAGATATTTGCAAATCACATATTTGACAAAGGACTAATATCTAGAATACAGAAAGAACTGTCAAAACTCAATGGTAAAACAAAACAAAATAAAAAAAAAACTGCTTGCCTCGGCAGTACATGTACCAAAATGGAAATGATACAGAGAAGACTGGCATGGCTCTTGTGCAAGAATGACATGCAAATTCATGAAGTGTTCCATTAAAAGAAAACAATCCAGCAGGCAAAAGACATGAACAGACGTTTCACCAAAGAGAATATTCATATATGAAATATATGGCAAATAAACATGTGACAATATATTCAACATCATTAGCTATTAGGGAAATTCAAATTAAAACATGATGAAATATAACATCATGGTTTAAAAATAGTGAATCCAGGCATCATGGCTCACACCTGTAATGGTTTAAAAATAGTGAATCCAGGCATCATGGCACATGCCTGTAATTCTAGCACTTTGAGAGGCCTAAGCAGACAGATCGCTTGAGCCCAGGACTAGCCTGGGCACAATGGAAACCCATCTCTTCAAAAAACCCACAAAAAATTAGCTGGGCGTGGTGGCACATGCCTATAGTCCCAGCTGCTAGGGAGGCTGAGATGGGAGGATTTCTTGAGGCCAGAAGTTCAAGACCAGCCTGGGCAATATAATGATAACCTGTATCTCTAAAAAAAAACAAATAAATACAGATTTTAAAAAAGAAAAAAAATAGTGAAATACCAAATGCTGGTGAGGTTGTGAAGAAATTAGATCTCTCATACATTGGTGGTGGGAATGTAAAACGATAAAGATACTCCAAAAAATAGCTTGGCAGGTAAAAACTAAGCATACACTTACCAAACAACCCAGCATTTGTACTCCTTGGCATTTATCCCAGAGAAATGCAAATATATGCCCACACAAAAACCTGTACGCATTGTACTAGCTTTAGTTGTAATAGTCAAAAAATTGAAAACGGCCCAAATGTCCTTCAATGGGGAAAAGAAACTTTGGTATATCCATACCACGGAATACTACTTAGCAATAAAGAGGAATGCACTATTGATATATGCAACAACATCTGTGAGTCTCAAGGGAATTATGCTGAGTTTTTAAAAAGCCAGTTTCAAAAAGTGACATACTGTATGATTCCATTTATATAACATTTTCAAAATGACAAAATTATAGAGATGGAGAACACATAAGAAGTTGCCAGGAATCAGGGACAATGGGAAGAGGAGGAGGGGAGAAGGATGGGTGTGATTACCAAGGAGTATATGAGGAATCTTTATGCTGATGGAACAAAGAGTTCTGTACCTGGATTGTGGTGATGGTTATCTGAATCTACACGTGATAAAATTGCAAAGGACTAGACACACACAGACACAGACCTACACACACACACACACAGTACAATCTGAATAAAGGTCCATGGATGGTACCAGGGTCAATTTCCTGGTTTGATTATATTATATATTATGTAAGATGTTACACAAACACCTTTCCATCTTATTTTTGTAACTTCATGTGAATCTATAATTATTTCAAAATTAAAAGTCAAAAAAAAAAAAAAAAACCAGAATGGTAATCAGATGGGAACATGTCAAGCCTGCCAAAGCAGAGAATTGTGAATAAAACCTGCATGTATTTTCACTGTTATGTATAATTCTTTTTATAGGTCTGTAGGCCACCTTCAAAATTTATTTTAGCAAAATCATCTCTGGGGATAGATGGGATTTTATATAGCCACATAGGCACACCTCAGAGAAAGAGTATCATAAATCCAAATTGTTGTTGTTATCATAAATTCTGCATGAAACTATTTACCTATTATAAATTACTTCAACAGTCTTCTCCAGCTAACCCCGAATGATTCCATGTGAGAAGGCACCACAGCAGAGGCCTCCTACTACACCACTTTCCAGCCTTCTCCTGGACCACTCAGCCAACCGAGGCAGAGGCTGGCTCAGCAAGCTTTCCTTCATCTCCTGGGCTGGAAGCCAGGGTGGGCTCAGGAATCTCTTACCTGTTGAGGTCCCAGATTCTCAGGGGTGAGAAGTGCCCGCAACAAGCCGTCCCTGTCACAAAAGAGCTGCCAAACAAAAGGAGAGCAGAATCAGATCTGGCTTGTCAGAACCTGCGGTGGAAATGGCTAACAATGGGAAATGCCGTGCTCATTCCCAAGGGGATTGTGGGTTAAGCCAGAATGAGAGAAGTGGCCAAGGGAGCCATCAGAGGAGCTGTGGGAAGACATCTGGGAGCACTGTGAGGGGTATAGCCCCGCAGAGGTGCCTGGCCAGAAGACCCACGAGCTCAGCCACAGCTGGCCTGCTGCACAGACTAGGTTGAGTGGTCCCTGCGCACCATAAAAACAGATCTCTAGATGTGACAAGTTTGAGCCCAAGGGAGAGCAAGCCTGTCGGGTTCCTGTTTAGGAACCCCAAGAGCACAATGGCAGGGCACAGAAAAGGGCTCCAAGGAACAGGCTGCTGGGGCTGGAAGGTGATGCCCCTGGTCAGAAGTAGGGACAACTGAGGGGCATTCCTGAAGGTTTTAAGAGCTTGGGGAATCTGGTAATGTGGTATAAGCACAGGGCAGGTATAAAGGCACCAAAATGAGAAAAGGAAAAAATATGAAAGGTGAGTGAATCCCTTGGATGGGTATATGCTAGTACATAGGTGGGGCGGAGTGGGGAATGACAGGGGCCAGGCAGCCAGGGCTTCTGGAGAGTGGGATGGGAGTCCGCCGGAGTCCTCGGAGGCCAATAACGAACAACGCCAAGAGGCACATGAGAAGGAGCAGGCTGACCCTGTTGCCCAGAGTGTCCCTTAGAGCCCTAAAAACCTCAACATATACAATCTGCAGAGTCTTACTTTAAATGGAGGCACAAGCCTGGTGTAAAGGATCCATGCAGTGGGCCAGGCTGGCTGTAGCGCTGGCCTAGAACTTGAACCTATGAGCCAGACAACTCTTGTTAGAGGATTTGGTAAGGTGGAGAGGGGAAGCCTTCAGGAAACCTGGGCTTGAAACTTAAACAGCAAGCAAGCAAATTGAAAACAGTGGTGTCAGGAGCCCTGGGGCAGGAATGGGCCATGTCCCTACATGTCTTTCATGGCGGGGAAGGAAGACTGGACATACTAATAACACATTAGCAATGTGGGGGCAACAGCCCATCCGCTGTGGCCCAGCCCAGCACCTGTGGCTCTCTGATCCCAAGCATGTCAGTGAGGAGATAGATTTCCACAGAGAGGGCCATGGAGAAGTCAGTGGCTTTGGCTGGGGCGGAGGCTGGCCTGCCAGTTGCTGATGGGGGAGATGTTAGGGCAGGCACTGGCCAAACCACTGATTTACAATCAAAATTGCAGGGCAGGTGTCTGCTCTTCAGCCCTAGGCTGATAAAAAGGCCATATGAGCTATCCTGGGGCTTTCATGACTCAAGCCAAGACTTCCTCCAGGGATATGCCCCATCATCCTAGCTTCTTCAAGGCTGCCAGCAGCCACAAAAACTATAGAGTGGGAGTGCCAAAACAGCCACTGTGCCATGCCCCAAGTGACAGCCAGCCTGGGAAGCAGCCAGTGGACACTGAAGAACCAAACTACAAAGTCAGAAGGTGTTGCCCTCTCCTCCCTCCCCCAACATTTTTCTCTTTAGGGTAATCCATTAATAACTGGTAAAGCCAATTACCTTGGGCTGGAAACATAATAGCCACTTGGAAATCATTCGAGCAGGCAATTGGACTATCCAGACTTGAGGAGTGGGGGCCAGGTGAAGGGCGCCAGCACAGACACAGGCATCTCTTTTTTTTTTTAAAGGAGTCTCCCTCTGTCACCAGGCTGGAGTGCAGTGGTGCAATCTTGGCTCATTTGAACCTCCACTTCCTGGGTTCAAACAATTCCCCTGCCTCAGCCTCCCGAGTTGCTGGGGCTACGGGCATGCCCCACCACACCCAGCTAATTTTTGTATTTTTAGTAGAGACGGGGTTTCACCATGTTGGCCAGGCTGGTCTCAATTTCTTGACCTCGTGATCTGCCCACCTTGGCCTCCCAAAGTGCTGGGATTACAGGCGTGAGCCACCGCGCCCGGTCAGGCATCTCTTAAGGCCTATGGCAGGCCTCTGACTGGCCGCAGGCCTAAATTAGCATCAAGGTAAGTCAATAGAGAGGGGAGCAACATGGAACTTTAATCTTGCTGGAGGTCAGAGCTGGGGGAGTGGCAGGAATGAGGGTGGGGTGGGGATGCAAACCCCCTTCCCAGGGACTCCTATCCCCCTCTATTCTGGCTCACCAACATCTGGCCCTGATCATCTGCCACCAGGAGGAGTGCCCCTCACCTTCATACCCTGTACAGGGCCTTTTTTTTTTTTTTTAAATAGAGACAGGGGTCTCTCTATGTTGCCCAGGCTGGTCTTGAACTCCTAGGCTCAAGTTGATCCACCTGCCTCAGCCTCCCGAATTGCTAGGATTATAGGTGTGAACCACTGGTGCCCAGCCTCCTGTGAAGCGCTTTCTTAATTGCCTGGATGTGACATCTATAAATGTTTATTTCCAAAAGCTGCCCTTTTCTCTCGCCTAACCACTGTGATCAAGGAGGAAAAGAGGGAGAGAAAGTAGAATGTCTTCCCGGCACTTAGGAAGACTTAAGAGTTTAATCAAATTTAACACTCAGTAAAAAACCATCAACAGTCAAGCAGATTTTGAGCAAACACTCACCAGGACTCACATCCAAACCACAGGGCCTTCCCAGGACTCTTGGGGGTCAGGCTCGGTGCAGACACAGTCTTGTACACCTTGAACTACTCCCGACTTTCTGCAGCCATTCTTGCCCCCCACCCTACTCCCTTATTCCCATGGTCATTAAGACGAATGAACAGAAGCTACAGACCAGCCACACTCAAAGTCAGAAGATTAGAAAGGGTGTGCCCACATGCAATCTCAGGGTACAACAGACACATGGAGCAGAGGAAGAAAAGGAATTCACTACTCTCCAACACCCAAATGGTGCGTCACATCTTACAATGAGCCCACGAGATAGACATTATTCCCATTGTGCAGAACGTGAATATGAAGCAAAGGCCAAGCTTCCATGAATGGACTTAAAATACTGTGGCTGCACACAGGACCTGTTACCCCCACATTCAGACTCCTCCTTTGAGACTCACGGGATAAAGCGCTTTGAAAAGGGGCTGGTGGGGTGGGATCTGTGCATCACAGGCAGCCTCACTGGCCTCAGTTCTCTAACCCAGTGATTTAACCCAAACAAAATGCTGTGCTCTGATAACCTGTTCGATTTGAATCCGCCAGATGTCTTGAACTAGATTCTCGCATCCCTCACGGTGCTGGCTCCTGTGCTAGGCATGTCAAAGGCTCTCAATAAATACTTGGAGATCAATGAAATGAAAACATGTATCATTTCCTCCATGGCTCCTCCCAAGGGATTGCTCACTGAATTTTCCCCAGTAAAGTCCTTTGCTATAACTTCAATTTTGGGTTTGAAAGTGATGAAAACGCCAGTTCTGCTCAGAAAAGAAAGAAAATTCAAATGGCTTTTGCCTTCAGTCCCATCTCTTCCCTCGGGGTATTCCAGGGACAAGGACATCAAATCTGTGTTGAACAGGCAGAGGCAAGAGCTGGTGGCTCCCCAGGTAGGCTGACCATCCTCCGAGTCCCTTCCATACTCATGGGACAAATGGCATTTTTGGTTTATCTTCCCATCTCCCCTTTGAGATCAGAACCCTTTAGAGGTTCTTGGGTACTAGCAAGTGTCTAGCACAGTGCCTGGCCCAGAGAAAGCACTCAATACAAATTTGTGGAACTGAGCTGAGAGGGCCTTCCAGAGCCCAAAGCCTGCACAGCTGGGAAAGCTAGTCATGTGCACTGTGAAGCTGGTCCCTCTGCTTCCTAAAGGAATAATTCCCAAATACCAAAGGCTCAAACTTGAATGACACATGACACAGGCATACTATATTAGGGGAGTGAGAAGTCCCTCATAAGCACCGCAACTAGGTAAGAGATGAGAGGTACTGACATCTAAAAATCAATGTCAAAACACACACACTCAGGCACACTAGTACAAGTACACCTATCCCCTCTTAGCTAGAGGGTCTAAAAGTCAATCTGACTCCATAAGCTCTACTCTTTTTGGAACAGAAAGCCCTTACCAGAAGCCAGCCTTCTAATTTCTCACCCTGTCCCAGACCTTAACCAGATCTTCAACCTGCCTTACTCATCCCCTGGCCCTAGCTCAGGCAAACCTGGCATCATGCAGACTTTCATCAGGCTCCAGAAGCAGACATAGGAGCCTGTCTCACTAGAGGAAGATGCCAGGGAATTAGGGTTTGTGTATTCAAGTTAAGAAATTAAAAATAACAAGACATAGAAAAGAGGAGAGCAAGGTAAGAAGGAAAATTAGTTGGGCATGGGCAGTCTGAAAGGCAGGTAGATTCCTGCTGCTTCTGCATTAGCTTAGGCCCTCTTAATAACACTAGTAATTTACTGAGCACTTACTATGTGCCAGGTGCTGAGCACGTGTTTCAAAAGCATTATCCTATCTAATCCTCATAACACTATGCAGTAGGTACCACTTTCCATTTTTTTTTTTTTTTTTTGAGACAGAGTCTCGCTCTGTTGCCCAGGCTGGAGTGTATTGGTGCAATCTCGGCTCACTGCAACCTCCATCTCCCAGGTTCAAGCAATTCTCCTGCCTCAGCAACCCCCTAGTAGCTGGATTAACAGGTGTGTACCACCACACCTGGCTAATTTTTGTATTTTTAGTAGAGATAGGGATTCCCCCATGTTGGCCAGGCTGGTCTCGAACTCCTGAACTCAGGTGATACACCCACCTTGGCCTCACAAAGTTCTGGGATTACACGCATGAACCACAGCACCCAGCCCCACTTTCCCTATTTTACAAATGAGGAGACTGAGGCTCTGGGAGGTAATTAATTTGCTCTAGCTCACAAAGGTAGCAACTAGTGGACTGGAATTGGAACCCAGTCAGTCTTGATTCCAGGTCCAAGTTATTATACCACCCCTTGCCCAGAAGCTCTCATCTTGGCTACATTTCAAGAGTTAGTCTTGTTTGAATTTCCAGCA